TCCTATTCAAATCCTCTGCCCATTTTTAAAATATATTTTTTTATTGATTTCAGAGAGGAAGGAAGAGGGAGAGAGATAGAAACATCCATGATGAGAGAGAATCATGGTGCCTCCTGCAAGTCCCCCACTGAGGGTCGAGTCCACGACCCAGGCATGTGCCCTTGACTGGAATGGAACCTGGGACCTTTTAGTTTGCCGGCCGGCGTTCTATCCACTGAGCCCAACTAGCTCAGGCTGCTGGTTGGAATATTAAATGGTGCAACTACTGTGGAAAACAGTTTGATGATTCTTCAAAAAGTTAAACTTAATGTTACCATATGAACCAGCAGTTTCCCTCCTAGGTATACACCCAAGAACTGAAAACGGACTCAAACACAGCAGCATTATTCACAATCGCCAAAAGGTGGAAACAACCCAAATGTCCATTATCAAATGAGTGAGTAAACAAAATGTGGCCCATTCATACAATGGGATATTATTCAGCCATAAAAGGGTTGAAATTATGATATATGTTAATGTGGATGGACCTCTAAAACAAGTGAAAGAAGCCAGTCACAAAAAGCTACATATTGTTACATGAAATATCCAGAATAGGCAAACCTATAGAGACAGAAAGATTAGTGGTTGCCAGGAGTTAGAGCAGTGGTTCTCAACCTTGGCTGCACATTAGAATCACCTGGGCCGAAACCGGTTTGGCTCAGTGGAGAGAGCGTCAGCCTGCGGACTGAAAGGTCCCAGGTTCGATTCCGGTCAAGGACATGTACCTGGGTTGCGGGCACATCCCCAGTGGGGGATGTGCAGGAGGTGGCTGATCAATGTTTCTGACTCTCTATCCCTCTCCCTTCCTCTCTGTGGAAAATCAATACAATATATATTTTTTAAAAAAGAATCGCCTGGGAATCTTTTTAAAATCCTGATTTCTGGGCCTCATCCTCCGGAAATTCTGTTTCTTTGTTACTGATGTTGTGGCCCCACCCCATAACAAAGAAACAGAATTTCTGGAGGACAAGGCCCAGAAATCAGGATTTTAAAAAGATTCCCAGGTGATTCTAAAGTGCAGCCAAGGTTGAGAACCACTGGGTTGGAGGAGGGAATGGGAAGTGACTGGTAATGGGTACAAGGTTTCCTTTGGGGATGATGGAAATGGTTTGGAACTAGATAGAGGTAGTGGTTGTGCAACATTGTGAATGTACTAAATGCCACTGAATTGTACATCTTATTTATTTATTTTAATATATTTTTGTTGATTTCAGAGAGGGAGAAAGAGATAGAAACATCAATTATGAGAGATATTGACTGGCTGCCTCCTGCATTCCCCCTTCTGGGGATTGAGCCCACAACCCGGGCATGTGCCCTTGACCAGAATCGAACCCGGTACTCTTCAGTCCTCAGGCAGACACTCTATCCAAATCAACTAGGGCTTGTACACTTTAAATGGCTAATTTTATGGGAGTTTTACTTCAGGAAAACAAAATGGCTGGAATTAGAGTGGTTTTCTGGAGAGAAAACCCGTCTCAAAAAAAATTTTTTTTTAATTGATTTCAGAAAAGGAAGGGAGAAACATCAGTGATGAGAGAGAATCATTGATCAGCTGCCTCCTGCACGCCCCCTACTGGGGAATTGAGCCAGCAACCTGGTCATGTGCCCTGACCAGGGAATTGCACTGTGACCTCCTGGTTCATAGGTCGACACTCAACCACTGAGCCACACTGGCCGGGCAAAACAGAGTCTCTTTTAAGGCGACATCTTGGTTGAGGACAAGGCACTAAACAGGCGTGCTGGCTCTGAAAGATGAGGCAACAGGGTCAGGAGCCAGAGAGAAAGAGGCATTTGGCTTTGAGACAAGGCTTCTGGGAGGATGTGGCCTGTAGGAACACTGGACTTTGAAGGACAGCAAGGCCTGAGCCTTGATTTTGGTTTCCCCCTGGGCATAGAGGACTCCAGCACCCACGACAGCTTCGGGGCAAGGAGCTTTGGAAGAAAGGAAGGAGTAGAAAGAGAGAGGTCACTGGCTCCAGGAGGAGGGAGGTGTCCAGAAAAATAAGAGCTATGCAGAATCCCAGATATTTCAGGGTGGCGTTGGACTGCCTACTGTGTGAGGAAGAAGATTCAAATAATTTTATTTTTATATTAAGGAAAATACAGGCTCAGAAAGTGGGAGAATCCAGGGACACCAGACCTCAGGTACTTGGGGACTTGCAGGCCAGAGATCACATTCAGACACAATCCCACCGTTACTCCCATCACACCCAGTCACAGTGTGTGAGGCAGAGCGTGCTACACACACTACACTCTCCAGAGTATCTATGTGGGAGGAAGTGTTCCTGGGTGGGCAAGGGCCTGTTCTGGGAATTGGGAGGCCTGGATCCCAGTCCTGGTGCCTGCTCGGCACATGGCCCACTGTGACCTTGACCAAGTCTATTTTGCAATCTGGACCTTATTTTTCCCAAATGGGAATGGGCAGGATATGGTAGATGTGTGTCTTTCATATATAGATATGTTCAAGCATGATGCACCCAGACATATGCAAACTGCATAAATGCTCTTTTTAAAAAATATCTTTTTATTGGTTTCAGAGAAGACGGAAGAGGGAGAGGTAGAAACATCAATGATGACAGAGAATCATTGATTGGTTGTTTCCTGCACGTCCCCTACTGGGAATCGATCGAGCCGGCACCCCAGGCATGTGCCCTGACCGTGACCTCCTGGTTCATAGGTCGATGCTACACCAGCTGGGCCATAAATGTTCTTAAAAGCGACCTAGGTAAGTAAGGCCACTCACTCAGGCATATGTCACAGTCAGGCACATAAATACACACAACTGCACATAGGCTAAAATACACCGACATATATAGATATACACAATCACAGACATAAACACAAATATCTAGTCACATTATCACAAAGATAACAGCCACACCTAGAGAGAAAACCACCGAAACACAGTCAGACACACGGACACACAGTCACACAAATACAAGCTTAGAGTCACACAGACAAGAAACTACAAAGACATTCAGCCACACTTAGGACCAGTCTCCGGACAGTAACACAGCCACTCAGTCAACAGTCCCAAAGTCACAGGCACAGCCAGTCCCACCCACATACAGATAAGGTCACTCAAGCACATGGACACACAGAGATGCACGGAATCACGGAGCGCAGAGAATCACACCAGGCCACACAGTCACACAGTCACCTGCGCTACCGTGCTTCGGGACAGGCCGGCAGACAGGTGGGCTGAGGTGGGTCAGAGCCGACCTGCTGCTCGCATACTCCGCACCCCATTAGAGGAGACCTCCAGGTCTGGACTTATTTTTCTCCTGCCTCAGTTTCCTTCTTTAACTCCTAATCCCTTCGCACACGCCTCCTGCAACTGGCCAACCAAGAGGGGGCCGAGCCCCTCCTAGGGCCAATTAGAGCAGGAATACAGGTGGCCAATCGGGTTGGCAGACTCGTGTGTGCGTGTGCGTGTGCGTGTGTTCCTCTCCCTCCCCTTCTCTCCCCTCAAAAAAACCCCTCCCCCCTCTCTCTCTCCCGCCCCCCTCCCATCCCCCTCTTTTCCTGTTTTGCTCCTTAAAGGAGCTCTCGTTCCTCGGTCTCTGTCCGCGGCTCCCTGGGACAGGTCTGCCCTTGCTCCTTTAAAAAGCAGGCCCGTGGAGGAGCCCGTCTCGGGACGAA